ACATGTGAGTTCGATCAGTACATGTGGTGCTGCTGTTTTCTCTCGGCTCCAGCGGAACCGAACTTTCATCATGTCAAAGTCCCGTACGCAGCTCTCACATGTCACCCCATTTTTATTGCGCCAATGGCCCCAGTTTTCAACATCCCACACCGTGCGAATGACGACGTACAGCATTTGTCTCCGGCCTTGATCGGCCCCACTTGAGATCACATTGGCTGCTGATCACCAGCTGCATCTCTTTGTCGCGCTTGCGAGCTTGACCACATAACGCAACTATTGCTGCTAAGTCCTGGCACCCATGTGGAAAGTTCAAACACTGCCATGCAAGTGAAGTGCTGGTTTCAGACGCATCAGTGACCGTGACATGGTCCGACTGCTCATTCATGCTTTGAGGCCTACATCACACCATGTGTAACAATAATCTTAACAGTGGCGCGTCCTGCGCCCTTAAAGCCACTTCGTGCCCCAAATTGCAGAGCTGCGCGATGAAACAATGATCCTGCTTCGACATTCTCGAAGCTGCCATTCGTCACACAGCCTAGCCCAGCCGTTGACAGGCACAGCAGTTGGATCCCCGCGATTCCGAAGGAAAAAAGTTTGCTGATGGTGCGAGAGTTTCAGATTTGTTTTTTATGTGCATTTAAACGAACGTAGATGACAAACAATTAAAATTAAATGAAGGGTTTGATAGATGAATGGTTTTAAAGAGCGGTCGTGAGTTCGTTTGCCGTCGTTCGAAGAGACTTCGTATCGTGGACTGATCGTGAACTTGTTCGAAACCGCGCCGCTCGTTCAAGGTGTTCAAAGAACACCCATGGGTGACCATCAGAGGTCGGTCATGGACATGAACAGATCTTCAAACATGTTCAGAGTTCATGTAACCTAAGTTCTTGAACACGTTCAACTTTTTCAGGTCAGTGACTAAGAGGAACTCTTCATTTGAGCTTAGTTGCTTGGGCGCGTCGCGATCATGCCGCAAGCCGTGCGACCTCCAACGCTCGAGCATTTGCAGTGCTCGAAGCATCGGTTGACTTACCAGATGCGCCAGGCCATCCGCACGCAGCGCGAGGCTTTGGAGCTGCAGATCGAGGCTTTGGACAAGCTCGATCGGGCCTGGCAGCGCATCGCCACGACGGACGCCAGCGGCGACGAATCGCCTTTTGGTACGACGATTCCAGACGAAGCGCGCGCCCGCAGCCGCTCCCCACGGAGGCGAGATTGAAGAGCAGTTCACTGCACTCTGAGGCCTGTAAGGCCTGCACTGCCCTCTGAGGCCTGTAACGCCTTAGGAGCTTCATCCTTGACCATTCCATGGTGGATGACCTGTTCGAATCTTCCGGTGGATCAACGATTCGCCTTATAATCCATGGTCCGCCGCGACCTGCAAAAGAATTTCCTCCTTTCCTTTTCTTTATGCGCCCGAGCATATGTTTTGAAGTTTGCTTCAAGCAGTTGACTGTTAAGTGCATCAGAGTCCGTTGAACAGTTTTCTTCGGGTTGCATCCGAGCGCTCGTCGATTCGCGTTTCGTTCACTCGCTACTTCGTGGATTTCTGTTGCATTGGTTCACAGCATGGCTTGCGCAATTTTCCCTTTTCATCACCTCAGATGACATGTCAATTTTCAGGATCATTCCGTTCAGTTCACTCATGTTCACTTCAGTTGAGCTCCGCTCCGACCTTCGTGGTCGAACCGGGCCGTCCTCGCTATGGACGCGGCAGATGGAGCGGGGGAGTGTGAGCCTTAGTCCAACAGAGGACTTCAAGTATTTAAATCAGAAGAGAAGCAAATCTCGTTCAGAAAGGTGCAACAGACTCAGAGCACCTTCTTAATAGAGTGATTTTGATCAGCCACGAGGCTTCTTTGGAAGATGACCATTTTGGTCGATTCGATGAGGTGTGAGCCTCGAGTGAGTAGATGCGAGAGTTTCCTCCCTGCTCTTTTTGAAGTCAGCGACAAGCATCAGAGCTTAAGACTGATTAGGATTGAGGGTTGCATCAAAGCACCCATTCAATAAGTAATCAAAAAGATTCTATAACTTGAAATATCACGTAGATCTCTTGAGGCCCCTTTGGAATTTGGAAGATGACCAGCTTGGTCGATTTGATGCGGTTCGAGCCTCAAGAAGGTGAACTGCTGAACTCGTGAAACCCTTTCAATTTGGGTCAATTTAGCTATAGGCATCAGAGCTTAAGAACATTGGTGTTTAAAATGACCTTCCCTGGCAACGTAGCCTGGAAGAAACTTCGTTAGGTCGAAGAATCAGATCTCGCAGAACCACCCCCGGAAGGGGTATCGAATGAGGAGGTGGGCGAGAAACTAAACGTTGAGTGTCGGTTGAGAAAACTCACGTTCCACAACAGAGTGGTGTGTGATTCTCATTTGACTCGCCCTGCCGTGAGGAGTCCAGGCCTGACTTATCGTCAGGTGATTTCCTGGAGGAAGAAGTTGGATCCTCATTCATTCGCTCTCTTTCTTTCTAACTTGATGGCCCTGTGTTGTGGTTTTCCTTGCTCACTAGTGTTGGCCCATCGCTTAAAGTTTGAGGCCAAAGATCCCGATTTTATTGCTTTTGGAGCTGGAGACATTCCATTGATTCCAGATGAGGCGGGATCAGAGGGTCAGAATGCAGTTCAACACACGTCGAAGGAAGAGTTCGTGCATTAAGTCCAAATTTGCAAGCTCAGCCATCGAACCGCGTCGACGTTCGCACTGACCAGTCGAGTTGGGACGCTTTTGCAATGGTAGGGAGCGCGCGATCGGAGGCCAAGCGACTTAGATCTATGCTGCCCTGGGACCAAAAGGGATATCTGTCTCTCCCCCAGCCCAGGCTGAGAAGCTCGCTAAACGCAATGCTTTCGATCCCAGAGTTGCACTTGAGAGGGTTGTCTGAGCCACCCCCTTCTTTAGACCAAGACCCATCAGAGATGTTCAGCCGAGAAACGATCTCTAAAGTAAAGGGTAAGGACTCAGCAATCCGATGAAGACATGTGCAACTTAGGAATTAAGAAGTTAATCTCCCTCCTGTTAATAGACCCAGCCACGACTCAATTGAGCCGAACGATTGCGCCGGCAGCAGATGGACCGATAGACGAAGCCCAAATCGGTGGATCATGCATTTGCAAGCAAGGCTTCGAGCACGATCTGCAAACGGGTCTGTTCGCTAGTTCGGTTTGAATCTTGGCAAAGGGGATCTCGAGGCTACTTGAGTCCCTTCAGGATCAGTGAGCTTGAAGTGTACGACTACTTGTTGAGCTTAGGTGCAGAGGGAGACCGCGGCATTGAATTTTCTAGAGTCGATGAGATTTATCGACGGGGTAGCCAAGTTGATCAAGTGTGACTTGAAAGACGTCTTGTCCCCTCGGGTAATTGGGCTAGCCCATAAGTTGTACTTAGAAAAGAGGCCCCTGCTGCAGAGAGATCCGATGCCAGGAAATGTGATTGACAAGTCGGAACGTCTGATGCTGGAAAAGAAAGACCCAGTGCAGGTGGTGATCCTTGGACAGTTGCTCTTTTGCTTTCATGCAGGTGCCTGATGGAATGATGGCAGTAATTTGCGCAGGATGGAGTTGCAGGCGCAAGGCAATGTGTCTCTGCTTTTGGGTGAGAGCCTCAGCTCGAAAACCACGAGGGCAAAAGAGGTCAAGACCAGATTCCTGCCGCTCGTCGCCATTGGGACAGGCCTGTCTGGATTCGATGGGGGCGCAAAATGGATCCGTGCACGGCAGGAACAGTTTTCCGAGGCCCAATCCCCTTTCTTGCCCAGCTTCTCATGTAAGTATGGGATTTGGTCATCCAGCCCTATGGGGTCGTCAGAGGCCATGATGTATCTAGAAGATTTTCTTGACGAGATTGAGGTGTCGCTGGCTTCGTTCACGAGCTTGGGAACCCATTCGAAAGCCGGGCATCTCGATCGGCCCCAGTAGTCTTCACCCCAGAAGAACGAAGGCTGTTAGGGCATCATGTCGAGCCAGGGGCAAAGTCAGTCCTCACATATTCTAGGGAGGCCTACACGACTTTGTACGGAAAGGTGTTGGCAATGTTCAGAAGCTATCGCGCAGGCGAATTCGATCCTGATTCTTCGGCGGTGGACAGGGTTCTCCAAACGGCCGCTACATGGGTCAGCGCGGGGGTTCAGATCGAAACACAAGACCTGAACGAAGTCTCCGATTCCAGTGACGAGGAGGAGCAGCCTTTGTTAGGAAGTCCTCCTTTAGCGGACATGAATCCATGCCAACCCAGAGAGCTATTCCCTAACATCGAAACGCAGGAGGTAGTCGTGCGCAAGAAGTCAGGCATTGCTCATTGCTTGTTGGACAGCAGCGCGACAGTATGCGGACCTCATTTGTCTCCAAATTACGGCCCGCTCGAATTGTTTGAAGCGTATGACTTGGAACGCTGCTTACAGTGCGGCAAGAAGTTGGACACTCATGATCATCCAGAGTGCTTCAAGAGAAAGATAAAAATGGCCGAGCTTTCGGAAGATCAATTGAGAGGCACTGCTAGATGGAGGAGGAAAGCCTTGATTGCGAGAAGACCTCAGACCGAGGAGCCTGGATTCGCAGAGCACCTGATGGAGACGGCTGAGGAGGAAGTGGATCTTGGTTTCTTGCAGGGCCCCTTTAAGTCCGAAGACGAAGTGTCGGCTGTTTTGGGCCATGATGATTGGAGTGTGATGAGGAGGTTTGTTATCCAACAAGGACCAAAACTAAGGCCCGTTGACGACGGGCTTGAGGCCCAGTTGAACGCTGCCTACACGTCCACGATTTGCCTAGAACTCCAAGACGCCGACTATGTTATAGCCTTGACAACCCTCTTGGGAGAAACTCCAGGTATGAATTGGAAAGTGTTTGGACTTGTCTAAAGCATAGCAGCTGCCGGTGAAACCCAACCACCGTGATTTGGCCGTAGCTCACTTCAAAAGTCCTACCAATGAGAATTTGTTCTTCGCGCCGAACTCGCTCATGTTTGGATCGACAGCAGCTGTGTTTGGTTTTAACAGGGTTTCCAGAAGCCTTTGGTTCTTGATCAATAAGTACTTAAAGATCCCCTCAGCCTGCTATTTCGATGATTTCCCCTTGTTCTCCCCTGCTGAATCGGCAGAGCAAACAGATGCTCAGATTTTGGAGTTCCTAAATCTCTTGGGCTGGCGCCGTAGCCAGACGGGGGCCAAGGGGCTGCCGTTCGCTGATAGCTTTGATGTCTTGGCCTTCACCCTGAACCTCGCCCTGCTGAGGGAGGGGGGAGGCTTGATTCTGGAGAATAAGCCCGGGAGGATCGAAAAGATGAAGCAGAAAGTACTGCAGGTGAAAGTGAATGGAGTCCTCAAGCTCCATGAGGCCCAGGAGCTCCACGGGCTTTTAAACTTCGCTTGCGGGTACTTTGCCGGAAGGCAGTTGAGGTATGATCTTTGGTTTCGTTGATCAAGGACGAACAAACGACAAACCCTTGAAGGTGTGGTGCGAAGAACTCATCACTCTCTTGGATCAGTCGAAACCCAGGTGCATCCCGAGAGCCCCCACGACCCATTCGATCTTACAGATGGTTCGTATGAATCACGCGTGGGCGGTTTAGGTGCTTGTGTCTTCGACTTGGCCTCGGGGGAGCGGCTTGTCTTTGAGAGCGAGGTCCCGAAAAGACTTCTGGATCTTTGGGCGGACGTGGTAGGAGAACAGCTCATTTGCCAGATTGAACTGTTCGTCATGGTGCTCGTCCGATGGGAACTCAAAGACCTTTTGGCCTTCCGCAGAGTGCTTTTGTTCGTAGATAACGAAGCGGCAAGGGGCGCAGTCATCAAGGGCAGATCCCCGAGCCCAGCGATGGACTGTCTTTGCAAGGCCTGGCCTTCTTCGCTGCAGAAGCCGTTGATCCTTCGTTTTGGTGGGTGGAGCGAACACCCTCGAAACCGAACCCCTTTGATGCCCCATCGAGGGGGGACGGTCTTGAATGTGCAAGGTCCTTCAACGCCGAGCTTTGAACGCACTTCGATGCCATGGGGTTTCTGGCGCAGTGGATGATGGAATCATCTGAGATCCATCCGGTCCAACCTGCTCTGTAGTCGGGGGAAAGGAGAGCAGCGGTGACAGAACCGCATCGAGAGATCTGCCCCCAATTGCTATAGAAAAAAGAGAACGAACTAGATTAATACAACATATTGTATTATAACCATCTATTCTTGAATATTTGATTTGTACAAATTATGAATAGATGAACCTGTGGTGGTTGAACCTTTAGGGTCCTGACCAAGTAGCAATAGATTTGAAGAGAAGGAATCGTACACGTAGTGGATGATCCTTTCTCTGCAGGTCTAGGCTAAGCAAAGCCAAACAGATGGCTTCTGGTTGGCGTGTCACGGCCGTAAAAATGAAAAGGTTCAAAATAGAAATCAAAAACAGATTTGATTTGAAAAAAGAAAAGTTGAAAAGACAATTAAATGAAGGGTTTGATAGATGGAGGGTTTTTGAGCGGTCGTGAGTTCGTTTGCCGTCGTTCGAAGAGACTTCGTATCGTGGACTGATCGTGAACTTGTTCGAAACCGCGCCGCTCGTTCAAGGTGTTCAAAGAACACCCATGGGTGACCATCAGAGGTCGGTCATGGACATGAACAGATCTTCAAACATGTTCAGAGTTCATGTAACCTAAGTTCTTGAACACGTTCAACTTTTTCACCCGCCCGGTCCCTCCCTAACATTGCAGTTTTCGCGCGTGCCGATCCCTGCGTGACTCACAGTGCAGTCTCCTATCCATCGAGGCCTTATTCGATTTGACGCTCGATTAATTGCCAACATCTCAGCAGCTATGCTCGACCAGTGCTTGACCACCCAAATCTGCGCTTATTCATAGTTCTTTGGTAGTATACTCAATTCGAGCCAGTTACAACTTGCCAGGTCTTGATCACTAGTCCTTTCCGCTCTTCGTTGATGCACGAAATCGGATTCACATAAGCCTAGCTTAGCGGAGATGCGCTGTTTGCTAGTTGCCATTGCATTATGCCTAGCCCTCCATCCAAGGAGAGCAGCGGTGACAGAACCGCATCGAGAGATCTGCCCCCGATTGCTATAGAAAAAAGAGAATGAAATAAATCAATACAAAATATTGTATTAACCATCTATTCTTGAATATTTGATTTGTACAAATTATGAATAGATGAACTGTGGTGGTTGAACCTTTAGGGTCCTGACTAAGTAGCAATAGACTTGAAGAGAAGCACAGTTCATGTCATTTAAAGTCTTTGAACAAAGGCATTCCACTACATGCAGCCAAAACAGGTTTGTTGATGATTCGTATGCAAGATTTGTGCAAAGTGGATTCGCCTTGTGAAAGCATTTTTGGAGCAAGCATTGAACCGCGAGCACGTTCGAAGATCAGTGCAAGCAATGCCGACTCGAGGAGAGATGATGCAGATGGTCAAGTCGATCGCAGAAAACGTGACGCAGAGCCTCAAAACTCTGTTGACAATCCTGCTGAATCAGGTAGCCACCCAGCTCTCAGATCAGGAGCAGGTGCCTCAGGATCAAGCATCAATGATGAGCGAGCTTCTCTCAGAAGTCCAGTCGCAGAAGGAAAAGATCGAAGAGATGGCCTGCATCATGAAGAGAAGTGTCTCCCCCAAGAAGACCGAGGACGGAATGGTCATTCTGTCCGAGAGCGATCTGGAGGCGTGGGACTAAGAAGTGAGGTGTATCAACAGCCTCCGTCGAAGTGGCCGACCCTCAAACAATCCTCCGAGAGCACGAGCGCCAGCGAGCCCTCCACAGAAGAGCAAGTCGGTCGCAGCAGGAAAGGGGAGCTATCAAGCTCAGCCACCATCACCACAGTAGGTCGCAAGTCTGGTTGGATCCACGGCGCCTGGAAGCCCATTGTGTGTCAGCCTTCAGATCGAAGCCAATCGCAGTTCGCAGTCCCAGACAGCTGGACAAGAACTCGCACGGACAGCAACCGCAATGGGGCAGTGGGGCCAAAAGACAGTGCCATGGGGGCAAGAAGCGCCCCGGGAAACCCTACTCGATCGTCTACGAAAACGACAGCCAGTACGTCTCATGGTGTCTGAGCCGAATCAATTCGCTGGAAGCACCGATCATAGATTTCGCCCGGTACTGCCAGACTCGCCGTCAAATGGAAGGAGCAACTGCATCAGAGCCAGGGATTCTAAATTGGGAGGTTGAGACAATTATCCATGTTGAAACAGAATTCGAAGCAAAGCTATTGAAAGCCGTGAACCAAGAAACGAGCCAGAAAGCATTTGGTAAGCCAGTCGACCTCCTTGAAGTGTATGCCCAGCCGAATAGTAGGCTAGCCGAAGAAGTGGAAAGGTTAGGGGGGAAATCCGAAAGGTTCACAAAGGAACACGGAGACTTGTCAACTTTTGATGGCCAAGTGCAGTTGCTCAGAATGATGTGCAGGCTGCGACCAAACCACATTTGGGTTGCTCCCGAATGCCAAACCGTTTCAATGCAAGTCGAAGCATGAGCAGTTACCTAAAGATCCAGCAAAGCCAAGAATTGTCTAAGCAGCGCTTAGGACTATGCAATTTAATTTGTAAAATCCAAGTGCAGAATCAAAGACACTTCACGATGGAAAATCCCGGATCGTCCGACATGTGGAAACAAGAATAGATAGCCGTCATACTGAGTTTGACACACCGTTCTCTTAGACCAATGCCAAAATTTGGATTGACACACCCCGAAGATGATAGACCCCTGAAGAAATATACAAGATTACAAACGACATCCAAGAGCATTGTTCGACAGCTGGATGGGAGATACTGCAAACACAATCACACCCACGCACAGATAGCCGGATCCTGTAGGTATCAGGGGGATAGGATAGCTCTATCTCGGTTTGCAGCATTCTACCCGAAGATATTCACAAGAGCAGCAGCCAGAAGGGTTTTGCAGGAAAGAGGAAAACCTGAGCCTCCAATCATCCATGAAGAAGAAATGCGTTCATTGTTTCCAGCCGAGGGAGATGAAAGTCCTGCAAAACGTGCACGATTTGAGCCACCGCGAGAGCCGAAGCGTAAAGCCATTCCAGAGGAACCAGTGCAAGTTGAACTCACTGGACAACACTGGGATGAAGTCTTTGCATGGCTCCAAGCCAATTTGCCGAAATCTGGATCAATCGAGATCTCAAAGCAGAACTGGCCAGGTAGCTCTTTAGTAAACCAGTGCAGTTTCGAGGTCAAACAAATACAAGCAGGGAAAGGCATGGATAAATACCTCACCACCAAGGAATCCGCAGAGATGAGAAAACACCATTTGCCAGTGTAGGAAAACAAAGCAGATATTCGACCTAGGTGAAGAAAACTGGTCACGACACACACTGAGGAACCAAAGAAGAACAGCAATGCCGAGTCATATCATTATTTGCGTGTTTGGGAACAACGCATCAGCCGAGCCAGGAGCCGAAGGTCTCGAACCCATTTGGTCGAGAGAGGCAGAAGAGTTTCAAGTGCCTGAGCCGAGCCACGTTCCCGCAGAGCCGAGCTCCCGAGCCGACCTTGAGGTTGAGCCAATTCGAACAGATGAAGCCCAGATAGGAAAGCCACTTATCAGTGTGCCAGCATGGTCACCCCAAGCATCAAACAACCGAGGTCCAAAGTTTTTGGCATTAGATAGCTTTCAGAGATCCCTAATCAAGAGAATACACAACAATTTGGGACATCCGACCTCAGAAAAACTTGCCGCGCATTTGAAGCGCCTCAAATTCTCGCAAGAAGTGGTTGACGGAGCAGGGGATTACACTAGATGGTTTCGAATGGAAAAGCGGAGAAGGAAACAAATACTATGTGCCACTCACTTTCATCTAGGAAGAAGATGCATGAGGGGAACCGAGGAAGCTGAGAAACTGGTAAATGAAACATGGTTGAATTGGGCAGGCCCTCCTGAAGTCATCGTCCATGACTTAGCAGGAGAATTCGTAAGCCAGCAATGGAAAACATGCTGCAGAATGAGGGGATTCAGTCGATTACCTCAGCAGCCCCGTGGCAAAGAGGAAGAATCGAAAGACATGGAGGAACAATAAAGGAAATGCTAAGCCGAATTGACAACCATATCCCCATCAAATCTGATAAAGATTTTGACTTTGCTTTGACCCAATGCTTCCAAGCCAAAAATAGCATGAGCATCGCAAAGGGGTATGGTATAGCCCTGAGAAGGCAGTATTAGGTAGAACCAGAAGACTTCCCGGTTCAGTGTGTAGCGATGAGACAACGATAGCCCACTCATTAGAAGAAAATGAAGGCCCTCAAGCAGACATGTTCCAGAAGAAAATGGCAATTCGCACTGCAGCACGGAAAGCACTTTTGGATGCCGATAACTCCCAAGCTTTGAGACGCGCAATGCTTCGCCAATCACGTGGCAGAGAACATGACTGGAAGTGTGGAGAACTCTGCATGATTTGGGACAAGAGAAAAGCGCCAAAC